GTTTGTTCCATCTTGATAATGGTGACTGAACCATTTCTAAATTGTCTAAATCATATACTGTTTCAGTAGACCGTTTAACACAAGAACGCTTAACTATTTGGATTTAGACAGTATCATTTGTCAATCATTTATTCCATTTCGCAAACCATCACTAAACCATTTATGTTTGGTCTGTGCTGTTTACTAATCTTGTATTTTTGGTGGTGACGGCCGCCCATACTTCTGGTCCTACGAGACACCACGATGTCGTTCTCACCAGTTCCCGCCAATTCTCCATAGTGATCCTATTCTTTATGTGATTGGTCAGTTCATGTCACGTGACATAACATACCATAGCGGACAGCGACTCGCGGACTCTCACGGATAGCAATGATGCGAAGTACGGGCATTTTCGCCGCTTTGTTTACTGCATTCCTTCCTCGTTTTGTGCAAACTATTCCATGGAAAGGTAACACAATCATATTATTAAAATTAAGGTTGATGTGGATGCTCCTATTGTAGCACTAGCAAAGTTCCTCGGTCAGTATAAAACGCAGACTGCGGACCGGGGGTAAAAGACTGAAGGTAAACTGCAGACTGCAGACTGAAGACGTTTTAACTGAATCGTGTTACAATTTCTATGAACTAAATGCGATTCCGAGACGGCAATTGTCGCATTTATATTGGTAGGTAGTTGGGAGAAATATATTTTCCTATTTGGCAAGCGTGTGCTTTGCGTAGCGACCGAGAGCTCTCAATACGAGAACAGTCTGAATAATCCTGTTTACAGTCAGCACTCGATAATGGAATAACACGATTTAGTATAATTTCCAGAGGTGAATATAAAAATTGGACATTCTGATTGGTTGAAAAGCTTGGCTTGTGACTCTATATTCACCAAGCTGGGGGGTGAATATAACATTTCTGAGCTTGGTTACTAAGCTCGCCACCTTTGCCATCTCAGTAAGTAAACATGGCAGACAGTTGCTGAATGAAATTTTCATTTATTCGAAAGACATCACTTCAAGTCCAGGATATTTGAAAGGATGGAGAATTTTCAAAATGACTGCTGTTGCCCTTGGACCAAACATCTTTTCAAGAATTTGTATTCAAGGCAGTTAAAGGAGAAGGTCAATCCAAAAAGCTCCCTTTTTTGTCTTCGCCTACAGAAAGTAAACATTCAGCTTTTCCACTCACCGAAGTTTCAGCCTCTGAAGTGCCAGATGAAATTCTTCTCGAAAGAAGCCACTTCGGAGGCCGCCATTTTGAAACTGTCTTGGCAGCCAGGCTGTGTTTATGTGACATCATCCCGTCCGACTCGAAATTGGCAGTCCGAAGGAGAAAAACCTGCAACTGACTTTGTATCTTTCACAACATCAGCAAAATGTATTTTTCCAAATGTTTATCCACTTCACTATCTTCAATGCTATCATTTCAGAGTTTGGAGCATGTTTGAGTCAAAATAATATGGTTCAAGGGCAGCAATAACCAAGAGTGGTAGTTAAAAGGCTTTTCGGAAGCCATTTAGACAAAATCTCTTGGACGGAGTGGTGTCATGAAAACGTTGCCAGGCTGCTGAGTTCTGTTCAAACTGGCGGCAACAATGCCAAATTTTGGGCTTCTTTTGAAGACAAATTTCATAAAGAAAACCTACACTTTAGAGGCTGAAACTTCAGTGAGTGGCTAAACTTAGGGTAAGGTTTTCATGAGCATTGATCGCCAGCGGGTCAAATTGATTGACCGAAATTTATATATCTTCAAACTAAAGCTGCTCATTTTTAGATGATGATGACAACTGTGAATTAAATCAAAAGTGATAAAACAAAGGTACCGGATGAATTTATTTTTGTTGTGTTTCACTTGTTTGTTTTACTGCTGAACTTGATGAATAAGGCTTAAATTGATTCTCAATCGATGTACATATAAGCTTATTATTAAAAATATGGCTGCATACCTGTATGCAAACGAACAATAACAATCATGTCTGTGTTTTTATGTTTTGGTCCGGTATTT